GACGGGGTCTCGCTCTTGCTCAGGCTGGTTTCGAACTCCTGACCTCGAGCAATCCACCCGCCTCGGCCTCCCAGAGAGCTAGGATTACAGGCATGAGCCACCGTGCCCGGCCGAGATATTAGTATTTTTAAAAAAATTCTACTTAAGATCCCATTGCCATTCAGTAGCATGGGAGTTGAGTTCTATGGCATTGCATCAGCACATGCAGTTGAGGAGTTTTAAGATGCTCTTTATATTAATAATAGCAAATATGAGGTGAAATGTAGGATGCAGAACTATATCATATTATTGTTTATCTTATGCAAGTATTAGCTGTCATAATCAAGCTTAGATTTAAGAAGCTACTAGGTAAAATTTTGAGCTTCATTGCTACCGTGTTTCCCCGAAAATAAGACCTACCCATAAAATAAGCCCTAGCAGGATTTCTAAGCATTTGTGCAATATAAGCCCTACCCCGAAAATAAGACCTAGTGAAGGGCGTGGCCATGCAGCGTATCTGCACAACCCATGCATTTTGTCGCGGAATGGCAAAGAAGATGAGCAGCCCTTCTCATCTGCCCCATCGTGAATAGCTACTATCCCAGAAGTGACTGGAAAGGTGCAGGCAGCCCCACCAACAAGGTTGGCTCCCCATGTCAGGTCCTGGCCATCCTGTGTGTGCTACAAGCTGAGGCTTTGAGGAGAAAGTCTCAGTGAAGTGAGAAGGGACGCTCCTCTTTAGGTATTGTGTGTCCCCAGGGGGAAGAAGGAAAGCTGTGGCTGCCATTTTACTCAGCACTGTGGGCCTGTCTCATGCCCCACAGACACCAGGGGATAAGAGAAAAGCTTCAGCAAGCAGTCTCCTACTGAGCCCAGAGAGATCATTTCTGCTCCACTATGCAGATTGGACCCAGTGTTCACTGGATCTCTGATAAATAAGCCAGCCCTTACACATCAGCTTTGCTGGCCTATCTCTGCTTTTCCTGAGTATCTGTGCCCCCAGACAAGATGAGTGCAAAAAGAAAGAACTATTCTGTTGAGTACAAGAAAGAAATTGTAGAGGACTCCAAGGGCAAGAATCTTACAGCTTTCTGCAAAGAGAAGAAGTTGGATATCTGAATGGTCCAAAAATGGCAGGCGGAATACAATAACCTCAGTCTACATGTGGACAGAGGAAATGCTAAGAAGCACAAATGTGGTTCAGGTCGGCAACCTTTATTTCCTGAGCTGGAAGACATGATTGGTGGATGGATTGCTGACAGGAGAGCAAAGGCTTTGGTTGTACACAGGGCTGATATTTAAAGATTTTCCCTTGCAATGGCACCTCAGTTAGAAATATGCCCAGAAGATTTCAAAGCATCACAACACTGGCTGGGTGGCTTCCTTCAGCCATATGAACTGTCTGTAAGAAAATCGACAACACTGTTTAAATTGGAAGATGCTGAAGTTATTAAGTGAGCACTTGCATTCAAGTCCTTTGTTGGTGGCATCGACTTTTCTAAATACCAACTTTGTAACATTGCTATGGATGAAACTGCAGTGTTTATGGGTCAAGGAGCCCAAAGGACAATTGAACAGAGGGGTGCTTCCTCAATCTATGCTCCCTCTACTGGTCATGAAAGTTCACCCATCACCTGTATTTTGGCAGTTCGTCTGGATGGAAAGAAAGTCACACCTCTTATCATCATTAAGGGTAAGAAAGATAAGATTGAACTTGTTTCCAACATTTATGTTCTTGAAACCGAAAGAGCTGGTGCACACAAGCAGTTATAAGGAAGTGGCTTGATTTAATGCTGCTACTTGTTTTGCAAGGTGGCCAAGGAGGTCTGCTAGTCTGGGATTCAGCCAGCACTCACCGTGCTAAAGACATGAAGAACGTCCTTGCAGAGAAGAATAGATCAAATAATGATTCCTTCAGAGATGACTGCCTATCTGCAGACCCCTGATATTGCAATAACAAGCCATTCAAAGACCGTTTGCACATGGAAATTAACGACTACATTGAAAATAGAATGACAAGAAATCAGTGTGGAAACTTTGTGAAGCCTAGCCTGCAAGAGGTTGTGATTTGGGTGAAGAATTCATGGGATAAAATCACTGACAGTGTTGTTACCAATGCACTCCAAGCAAGTTACATGGATAAGAGCTGCTCATTTAATGAGAGCTCTATTGCTCCACATGAGAGATTGGGACCAATGGTTCTAAAGGAAATAGAGTCAGAAGAAATTCAGGATGGAATTTGGGGTTTGGAGAGTTATGATGATGTTCCAGAAGAAGATGACTTAACTATATTTGAATAAATATAGATTGTTGTACTGTACTTAAAAAAAAATAATACATCCCCTGAAAATAAGCCCTAGGATGTCTTTTTGAGGGAAAATAAATATAAGATCCTGTCTTATTTTCAGGGAAACACGGTATTAAGACATCTACTCTATTTGGGTATAACTAGCCTTTCTCTACCACTGATTGTAAAAGATTGTATATTTGGTCTGATTATTATTAGGTCTCTGTATTTTTTTGATAGCAGTATAAAAAATCTGTAATTAGATACACTTACCTAAACAATTTAATGCTTCTAAGAAATATTTTTAAAAGAAATTATTGTTGGTATAGTAGAAGCCACTGTATTCTTACCATTTTAAATGGATGCACAAGTATTAGTTGACATTCAAAAGACTAGATTCCTTTATCGTCATAGCAAAAGCATTGTGAAAGTCAGAGAAAGATGAGATTCATTATGAGCTACAATCCAGGATAATATGCAAGCATCTGAGTGTTCACTCCATGCTGAGTATTGTATGTAGCCAAGACTCTGAAAAGAAAACTGGCAACTGATGCAGACTTACTAAGCTGAAGACCTCTGTAAGCATTTCCTCTGTCTCCAGATTACCCATATTATATTCACTTGATATGCATGTTAATAATGAAGATTCAAATGGTTTTCCTAGGGCTTATGGAGGGGGAGGATCACTTTTGTGAAATACCTGCTTAATTTAGTTATACTTCAACTTTTTAAGATTATTATAGCTCAAAATGTCTTCAGTTTAAAGGTAAGAAAATGGAGTGATGGGGTTACAGCAGCTTAATCAAATTTTCAATTAATAAAGTAGAAGAAGAATGCAGACTGTAATAATTATCAGTTTTAGAGATTCTAAACTGTTGTCCTTCATATGAAATTCTGGTAGTGTATGTGGCAGAGTGAGTGCCATGCCATGGCCCAGTGAGCCGTGTTGAGAACTTTGAGAAAGTAACTTTTGTCTTCTCTGTGTTCCAGATAGCATCTGACAGAGTGCTGTGCTAATAAGTTGCTTGATAATTATTGAATGAATATTGAGTTATAATCAAATAATACTTATGGTGTTTTAAGGGATTTTTCAGAAGATTGATTTAAGTAAATATATGTGTGTGTGCATGATGAATGCATTTGTCAGTTGGGAATGGGGAGCATATGGAGAAGAAGGAAGCTGCATTCAGTTTTGTTTTATTTTCATAGGCAGCTAATATGGGCCTTTGATAGTTTTATTTTTAAATGAAACCGAGTCTTTAGCATTTTGAGCTTACATGTCAAATGGATGCAAGATTAGGAATTTCGTGTAAGTAGTTTACATCTGACTTGTATGTTGGAGAATGTGATTGTATATACTTGCTTTTTTGCCCAAGGCACTGTTTTTATATTGTTTTCTGCAGGTTTACTTCTGTTAACAGAGTTCTACTAGAAATAATAATAATGTGTTTAAATATCAACACTTTTCATCTTTCCACATTCTTCACAGGCTTCCATCTTGGTGCCAGCGTGTAGTTTTGGATGCTGTCTACCAGCAAAAAACAGCAGTTGGGTTTGCATGGGCCATGACATTTGGCTCACACTTAGGTTTACTGACCACCCTGGTCAAGGAACCTAGAACAACCCTAAAGCTGACCTAGTCTAATGCACGCTATATTATTACCTAAAATTGAATTTGTCACTGGGTATTGGAAAGTGAGGGATAGAAAGGACTGTGGGGTGGAGTGGTGCTTTATTAAGGAGCTACCTGGGTGTGGGGAGGTAGGTTTTCACTTGCATCCTTTCAATCCCTGTCAGTTTGAGCAAAAATCTGATAAAGAATGTCATTGCTACCATTCATATTTCTTACGTTCATGATTGAGAATGGCATATAAATAATTTAATTGCCCATATGCTTTATTTACATTTTTAAAAAAATTATATACTTATAAAAAAAGTTATATGATAACCTGTGGATTTCCTTTGCTTTTTCCTTTCCTTGAATTACTAAAATATGTTGTACAGAACTTTTTTCTTTTTCATTTCCATACAGGAAGGAGAGAAATATTATTCATGTAATTGATGTTATCATTTTTAACGTGTTTTGACTGAGGATTATTGTGAAATAATTACTGTTTGTTGGATTCCTAATTAAAAATGCCTGTAATCTTTTATAGGAATTTCAACTTTGCAATTTGGTAATGACAGATCCAGGTAAGTGAAACTTAAGAATCTCATACAGTTCTAAAGATCTAAGTTTGGTTGAGAATTTAATATTTTATCACCAGTAAGCCTTTGGATTTAGTTAAAGCTAAAGACAGTAATGTAACTGCACACCTGTTGAGAACTGAGTGTAAATGTTGATCTGTAAATCAACATTCGTGATGTTTCTTGGGTAGTTGCTGTAGGAATTAGAAGTTAGGAACAAATCTGATGGCATTTGTGAAGTCCTCTTTGCTATTTTACAGAGAAAACTCTCTTGAAATTTCTTTCTTTAGCAGGATGCTTAGCAGCACAATGTTGTAGTCAGTGCGAGATTATGATAGAGAATGAAATGAAACTGAATTATTATCATAATCTTGTTCAAGATACTATGAGCACCTCTCAGACTAAAAATTTATACATGAGCTTTGAGCAACAGCCTTATTACTTCCTTTGACATTTTTGTAGACCTTATAAAATTTATGATTGCCTAAGTAATATTCTCAGAATTAGTGGGTAAAATTATCATAAGTTCTCTTTATCCGCACATATAGTGCTAGGGTGTTTTGGACTTTGGGTAATAAAGGCTTGTAAATTTTTTTTTTTGACTAATTGACAAATATTTTATACTCATATATTTTACATTACATAGGGGTGTGTGTATGAAAATAAAAGCTTCACAATAAAGTGATGTATTCTGTTTTCTAATCTCTTGTAGTCTATCCTTTTTTATTAAAAAATAAATAAAAAATATCATACCCCAACAAATTGATTTCAAAATCATATGTATACCTATAGCTTTACCTTTTCAGGTAATGGTCCTTATAAAACTTGCCTTGGCTTCTCATATATTGAACTCTTTATAAACATTTTATTTTAACAAGTATACTAAAACATATAGAACACTAAACATGTTATACTTGTATTACTTGCCTTTATCATTTGAATAAGGTATTCTGTACCTGATATTTGTTACTTCCTTGTACTTTTGGCCTAATAGGCTTGAAAAGTGCCAAGCCACCATGGGGACAGCTAGTGAAGAAGAATCAGATTGAAAAAAATGCATTAGCAAATTATATTTGAGCTGTTTTCTGTATCTCACTGGCCTGGGTACTAGCCATAGAGTAGTTCTACTAGGTACCTCTGGTATTTGGCCTTCTTTTACCATTCCCTACGTAACAGTTCTTGGCTCAACTTTAAAATTCTGTTGTGCTTTCTAGGTATGAAGTATATAGGCTAACAGACAACATAGGAAGAGGTGTACAAATAAGATGGTTGGATAGTTGTATGAATTTTTCCTTTAGAAATAAGTATGCCTAAATCGAATCTCAAATAGTGATGTTTTTTCTTCCCAGTAATAATTCTTGTTATCCTAAGTTTATATTCTTTTTCTTTTTTCTTTTTTTTTTTTTTTGAGACAGAGTCTCAATCTCTTGCCCGGACTAGAGTGCTATGGTGTCAGCCTAGCTCACAGCAACCTCAAACTCCTGGGCTCAAGCAATCCTTCTGCCTCAGCCTCCCGAGTAGCTGGCACTACAGGCACACGCCACCATGCCCGGCTAATTTTTTCTATATATTTTTAGTTGTCCAGCTAATTTCTTTCTATTTTTAGTAGAGATGGGGTCTCGCTTTCGAACTTCTGAGCTCAAAGGATCCACCTGCCTCGGTCTCCCAGAATGTTAGGATTACAGGCGTAAGCCACCACACCTGGCCTTTTTCTTTTAATATTTGCCTTTGCTAAGTCTTAAGGAGGTATAAATTTAACATCGTTTTAAAATTTAGTTTGTAAGAAATGATAGGAGGACAAGATCAGATCCCTTCTCTGTCTCATTTCAGGACTAAAAGAAGCAAAAGTAAGTTTGGGGCTAAGTTCCTTTTTGTAGATGATTGGAAATGCTATAGTAATTTGTACATTTAAATATATTAAGAACCTATGGTGTATAAGAAACTAAAATGTATTTTATATTTAGTATATATATTTAGTATACATTTATATACATTTAATATAAGAAACTAAAATATTCCCTAGAAATATTTCCATGTGGGTAGTCAGGTTTTTAATAGTATTGGATTAAATGTTTAGTAAGCGCAAAATGTCCAGTTAGGTACAAAGTGAGTGTAAAACTACACTTCAGTCTTAAAGTTAACTTATATAATCAGAACTCCCCAAATATTTCTGTACTTGTATATAATGTTTTCCACTGGCCCCAGATATCCTCTCCACAGAGACTCTAGCCTTTAGGCCAAGTATCCTCCCACCATTGGTATGAATAGAATATGAAGGGCCTTTATTCCTCTTTGAAAAGAACAGATATTAGGCAACCCTGAACCAGCTGTATGGCACATGAGAAGAACAAAGGTATCAGGCTTGCAACTTTTTTTTTTTTTTGAGACAGAGTCTCGCTTTGTTGTCCAGGCTAGAGTGAGTGCCGTGGCGTCAGCCTAGCTCACAGCAACCTCAAACTCCTGGGCTCGAGTGATCCTTCTGCCTCAGCCTCCCGAGTAGCTGGGACTACAGGCATGCGCCACCATGCCCGGCTAATTTTTTTTTTTATATATATATCAGTTGGCCAATTAATTTCTTTCTATTTATAGTAGAGACGGGGTCTCGCTCTTGCTCAGGCTGGTTTTGAACTCCTGACCTTGAGCAATCCGCCCGCCTCGGCCTCCCAAGAGCTAGGATTACAGGCGTGAGCCACAGCGCCCGGCCAGGCTTGCAACTTTTAAGCTCTGTAAAAGTGATTCCTGTTTAGATAAAAGATGCTAGTTTTTCTTTTTTTTTTTTTTTTTTTTGGTATATGTATACAATGGAAATCCTTAGTTTTTCTTTTTTTAAAGCATTATGGGTCTTTGAGATTCTAATAAAACTGGCACATCTGTTGAATTAACAACCTTCTGATTTTCCTGTTTTGGTGATGGAGTGAGAATAGGTATAAGAAAGGCAAAAATACTAATTTCTTTTAACCTGATACTGTCATCACATGTTAAGCATTAATCCTGGATCAGTATTTACTTTTTTTGCTATTAAAATTTGCTCAGAATGTGGCAAAGCTGTTACCTGCTATAGGTGGTCCAGCAAGGATAGCCATCCCAGCAAAGAAACCAGCTAGTCCCAAAAACCTATGTACTGTAGAATTCATAGACAGATCAACCTGTAGGAATTAAAATTCAGAGTTAGCCATTATTAAGGGTGAAATTCTGTAGAGACTTATTCCTAAAAATGATAAATACTGTTTATGTTATCTGAAACTGTGAACAGTTTGACTTCTGAGCTGACTTGGATGGCTTTTTCACCCAATATTATGAAAGAGAGCTGAGGTCAAATAGGGAATAGTAACTTTGCTAGATAAGCAGTGTTTCCAGTTTATCAGCTAGGAACACTGGATTTTTGTTTTTTAAAACAATTATTTTGGTGGTTCAGGGGTTATTTTTTCCCCCAAATCTTGTTGATTTTCACTATTTAAAAATGGTAATTATTATATGAGCTGACAGTGATGACATTCTTAAATCTGCCTGTGGCTAAGTAACGGCCATTGGTTTGTAAGAAATCAGATACTGCAAGGAGTTGATTTCAGCTTTGGGAAGCTTGATTTTTCCGAGTAAGCCTCATAATGGTATCCTGTGGCAGTTATGCTAGTATTGATAAGAGAGCAGAAGTTTCCCAGGTATTCTTTTTCAACATGTTGGGGACATGGTTCTAAGAAGAACCCATGGGATTCCAAAGGGTTTCCAGGACACAGAAGTGTTTGTGTAAATATTTCAGTTCTATTTGGGTTGAGGACTTTAAGTCAATTTGGGGTAAAAATAGAGAGGAGATAAAAAAACAATGTCTCTATTAAAGTACATAGGACATTCCACTCCAAATGACTTCACTAAAAAATTAAAAAAAAAAAAAAAAAGTACATAGGACCAAGGCAATAATTTCAGCAAGAAAGAAACCACATTGGTCAGGAAATCGCTTTTTCTCTTGAGATCAGAGAACTCTTTAAGATTGTGTCTTAGAAGGAGCCATTTCTTGAGTGAACACAAGCCTAATCTTTTGGGAGACTGTTAAGCAAAGTGGAATCCTGCTGATCCCTTTTTTGCTTTCATTTCTTTCCTGTCCTATGTGGATAGCCCTTTCACCATCCTACCCCCCCAAGGAGAGATGAATAACTGGACAGGATATAGCTATAGGTTTCTGAGGCCTTTGGTATGATTTTTTTTTAGTTATAAAATTAATATAAAGTAGGTATTCTCTTGGGGAGTTTGTTACTAATACTTTTATTAAATGGTTTAACAATGTTAATGAATGTGTCTACTTACCAGTACAGGAAGTATCAGTGCCAGGTAACCACCAGCAAAAATGGCAAAGAAGATGGTATAGGTCATAAGTAGTGGGAATGTGGTGGCTAAAGGAGCAAGCAGGTTAGTGATGCCACAGAGGATGAGGTAAGACTTGTGGTAATGGTACTTCTTGATCCAGTTTTGATCAGCAACCCATCCAGAAATAATCTGACTGACTGTCTCAGTGATACCTGGAACAGTATTGAAAAAGTCTTATGAAATCCTAATTTCATTTTCTTACCCCTTGGAAAAATTTGAATGCATAAGACATCTTTTCCCAAGTAATACAACCTCATCCTGAGACTAGGATATGTGAGAAAAAAAAGTTTTCATTTGCTTATCAATAGGCTCTGTCATTTACTTATCTACTCCCAACATATTTAATAAAATACCCAGAAAGGCTTCTCTAGGGTTGGGTAGAAGACCCATCAAGTTGCCAGGTGTATTTTCTGTGTTTTCAGAGCTCATACCACCAAACTGGTAATTCCTGGTTACAGAGGACCATGGGCTCTGGAAGCCAAAGACCTCTTTCTCTAATAGGTCCTGCAGGTGAGAAAGTGAGATTTCTAAAGGATTGTAGACCCTTAGGTCAGTGTCTTAGGGAAGCCATATGATAGAATATAGAAGTATAAATAATAAAATCATATGTTAAAAAAATAGATGTTGGGATTCATAATTGAATATGAAGCTCTAGGAATTAAGTCTTCCTTTAAAGGTCATTATGCTTAATTTGAAAATATGTTGGAAGTCTGGAAGTGGAAGATCATATTTTGAACATTGGAGCTATGGTGTAGCTTGAATAAAATTGAAGAACCACACTTTTCACTTAGTTTCATGGTAACAGAGCACTCTTACCCTTTATCTTACTATAAGCTAATGTAGCAGTTAAAGGCTGAAAGATTTTCACCAAGGGTAACATGAGTTCAGTTGTTTTGTTCTTTAAATTCTTTATGTGGTTCAAACATAAATTGCTCCATTAAAAAAAGTAATAAAAAATGAATGCTATCATTTCTATGTCCATTTTTATTTTACCTCCTAGAATACATATTAGGACTTTGTTATGTTTTTTGGTACCATTTTATAGCCCTAACCTGATCTAAATTGATACTACCAGACATTTTAGTGAAAAAAGTCAGTTTAGCCTTGTGTCTTTGTCTTGTGTACACAAGCTTTATTTGACTGAAGCAGAGTATCTTTACAGTTGGAACAGTTGAAACCAGGTGTAGTGTTTTGTAAGAGTTTGGTAAATTCATTATTTTTTTCAAGAAATTAGAGAAAATTTAATGTTGAACTTCTCAGCGTTTCCAGATAATTAGAGCAAACCAGTTCCAACTCCTCTCAATTTTTTAGACTCCCTATTTTGTCAGTTGAGAGAATCCATATCTTCTGGATCAAGCATTCTGTCTCCAAACATTTTTATGACTATTCAACTAAAATGGTTGTTTTTATTTTTAATTTACATTGTAATTTTTTTAAATAGCCAATTCATGAGTCACTAGCCTTAAGAGTCATATTTATCTGTCTTATGAGTTCAAGGGGCAAAATAGCTACAAATATTAATAGAACATAATTGAAACTCTATTTTTTTTAATCCTTACAACCTTCTGAGAGTAGGCACTATTATCCCCATATTACAAATTAGGAAATTCAGGCACAGAGAGGGAAAGTAACTTGCTGAAGGTCACACAGCTAGGAAATAGAGAGCAGGAACTTGAACTAGGAAAGTCTTGTTCCAGAATCAGTCCTTTGAACCACTGCACTATGATGTCTACCTGGGGTTTTCTGTTTCCCAGAGTGGCTGTTGCCATTGAGCATCAGCTTTTTGAAATTCAGCATTTATCCAACAAATAATTAATGTCTATTGCGTCAGACCCTGATATATGAAGATAAGTAAGATGGTTTAGGGTCTGCTGTCCAGTAAGGGAGCTCATGTGCAAGGTGCAGTGATAGAGATCTATTCAGGGAAATGCCCAGGTACTCTGTCTAGCTTCAAAAGATTTGTCCTCCCACAACTCCTCTTTTATTGTCGTTTTTCTTCAGCTTTCTAATAAAATTTTATAAAATCAAGTTCATTTTTCCTTTTGGGTAGGAGGTTAAAGTGGGTTTTCTTACCAGCTACAGAAACAAGGTAAGAGGCATCCATGATGTCAATGTCCAGTGTTTTGGCTCTGGCTACCAGGTGAAAGGTAGGAATAAAATATGCTAACTGACTTAAAAGAAAAGACCAGGTAAATATGTAGAAGAAAGGATTCCTAAAGAGAGAAATATCAAAGAGTTTTTGTTTGCAGCTCCACAAAATAGCATTTTTCTCATAACTTTCTTCATTACTTATTAATAACAGTCTTTTTCTGTTAGGCCCATTGTTCAACTCTTCACTTTGATTTTGTGAGGCCATTAAGCTTGTACCAGGTTGCCCAGCCTTCTGCATAGTACTATCTTTGATGGTAGATTCTTGTGTCTCATTGCAGTGTGTTGTTTCTGTCCCACATAGTGCCTCTGGATCACTTGCAGACAAACTGCCACCTTTATCTTTAATGTCAGAATTATTCTCACTTTTGATATGGATGGGTCTTAAGAGCATACTAGAAGGTACCAGATTCAATGTGATAGCTCCAAATAATATCAGGGCACCTAAATAGAGGAGAGAATTTGAGAAATTAAACCTTTTAGTTCACAGCACTACTTTGTATTTATAGGCTCAGAAGAGACCCCACCCCATACTCCAATAATTTTTTTTTAAGACAGGGTTTCGTTATGTTGTCCTGACTAGAGTGCAGTGGTGTGATCATAGTTTACTACAACCTCAAACTCCTGAGCTCAAGCAATCCTCTTGACTCAGCCTCTGAGGAGCTGGGACTATAGGTGTGCCACCATGCCTGGCTAATTTTTCTATTTTTTGTAAGGACAGGGTCTCGCTCCTGCACAGGCAGGTCTCAAACTCCTGACCTCAAGCAAACCACTCGCCTTGGCCTTCGAAAGTACTAGGATTATAGGCATGAGCTACCACGCCAGCTCTAATAATTCTTGACAACACTACTTTGCCCCCTGAATTTGACTTAATTGTCAGCTGTATACACTGCTGTATCCCTGTGAAAACAGAGTCCTTTGGAGATAGAAAACCAGAAAGTTGCACCAATAGACAGGATGGAAGGAGAGGTGGTTATTTGTCCTAAAGGGGGAAAAAACCTTTTTTGGGGGGAGTGTATTTCACATATTAAAAAATTTATAGTGTGTTTTAAGTAGGTATTCTAAATATCCTGAAGTGAAGGTATAGATTTAGGTACAAAAAATATAAAATTAGATGAAAGGAGTCATTTGGAAACAGGTAAAGAAGAGAGAATAGCTTTTCATCCTATGACATTTTAAAAAATTTCCTTGAAAGAAAGCTGAATAGTTGATTGAATTCATCATGTCCTGACCAAAGTTGTGACTTTTGTGTGGTGCTTCCAAAGATAGAATGGGCTATAGTCTGTTATCCTGTCATGGATTTGTTAGCTGCTCCCATTCACCATGAGACTACTGAATAGTTTTTTATTTGGGAAAGGAAAGATTGAACAAGCCTACTATTTAGATAGAAATAGGCATATGAATACACACACATGCATACATGTACATATATGTATATTCATGTATATGTACATATACATATATGTATATTAAGATTATTTTAATCTAAGTGTTTTAGGTACAAAGAAAATTGTGGGATGCATGGTTTATTTGTGAAAATTTATAGGTGACAGTATGTAAAGGATTGACTATTAAGGAACATAATCCTCTTTTCACCAAAGTATTTTTTCTTTTTTATGTAGTTTAGTGAGTCTGATGGAGGCATTTTTTAAATGCACATTTTTTTCTTAAAGGAAAAATGTGAAAAGTGAATACTTTGGTGGGGGGAAGGGGCGTCTTGTTTCCACAGGAGTGTCACTTTCACTGCAGGGTGCTTCCAGCTGCAGAGTGCCCTCCATCTCCTCAGACATTGAGCCCTATGGTGATTTCTGAGTTGCTTGTGTGAGCTGGCAAAGCTTGCAAGTAGTTTGGGATCTCTTCTGCTATGTATTCTCTAAGGAAGAGAACATGTTTACTTTAGAAATCATGCTCATTTCCTCTCTGGCAGTAGCTTGTGAAATCAATTGCTCTAAAAGTCTTTACTTTTCAGTCATCAAAGGGGGAGAGAGCTGAACGTTAAATCTTGGCAGAGTTGTTAGTTCAGAAATTCAGAATCACCCACCTGTCCAGTCGTACAGATCTATCAGGAATTTTGTAAAGGGTGCCAATAGAAATGTCAGTCCCATCCCAGAACGGGCAATAGCTGTAGAAAGAGCCAGTCGTTTTTTGAAATATTTGGTGGTTACTACAGCAGCTGCTTGGTACAAGAAAGCAGAACCCAAACCTAAAAGAAAATAGTTTATAATCACTTTCACATTACCAGTGGCTTGGTACCAGATGATGTATTCTCCTGGATCTGAGATAAAATAACTAGGCCTTTGGACCCAAGAACAGTAGAAGGGAAGGTTCCTGTTGATCTTTTATAATCATATTTATGGTGAACTCACCAGGCAAAAGTCCCATAGTCACACAAAGAAAGGGAATGCTTGTAGCCCAGCTGCTGATCAGATATCCACCGGTAACAAGGAAAGTCCCAAGAATGGAGGTAGTTTTCTCACCAAGTATGTGACAAACAATGGCAACCAGGGGACCTTAGGAGAAGAAAGAAAGGCAAATCCTAGGTAAATATGATCTGGCATCCCTTACCTCTGTTGTGTAATTTAAATGAATGAAGTAGACTCTAGAGTATTGTGTATCCTTCGAAAAAAGGTGTTTGTATTGCATTTCTTTATATTACTAGGTCCCAAACTATTTTGCTTTTTGGAAGGAGAGTGAATTTTAAACATAGGTGGATTGTAAATAAGCTTTGAAGGAGAAGTTTATTGAAATGCATTATAAAGCCTCCAGAAAATGAGGTTGCATCCTCTGACCAATGACTGGAACAAGGTTGAATCATTAATTTGCCCCTCCACCATATTATAGTTCCAAATAAAACTAAAGGAGGAGAAATTGGTTTTATATGTTTTAAGTATACTTAGATGACTCTAGAACTTCATGGTCTGACTTCAGGTTGAGGGCCTGGCTCACTAAACCTATATTAAAACATTACCAGACAGTGGAAAGAAACAAGACATGAAAAATTGAATCATAGAAATAAATTTTTCAACTCTCTTTATTTGAACCCCAATTTTCCCAACTTAGTTACTAAGTCAAGTGGAGGCTAAACACTAATTCCTTACTTTCGCAGCATTACATGTTAATAAATGAACCTGAATTTTAGCAACCCTTCCTTCAGTCTTGAATGACTGACAGAAGAGTCTTCTTGGAATTCCCCTTTGTGATTCTTCTACTTGGACAGCAAGCTTATTGCCAGCTTTATACCTGCAGAAAAGCGAAGTGATGACATGATGGATCCAATCCAACCAGTTTGCTCTGAGGTGCCTTCAAACTCTTCTTGAAAGACCACAAAAAAAATCGCAAAAGTCTTGGTCATCCCCATCACAAACACATTTACCTACATCAAAGCAGACCAGAGTCTAAGTCAGGTGGTGAGTGAGCCAATACAGAAGAGGTTACAGCTGCAAGAGGTTAAGATTCTCCCAGCTCACTAGTGTTTACCAGTTTGCTTTATTGGTTGATCCTCATTTTATTGGGGGGGGGGGCATTCGTTTTAGAGTTGCTAAGCACTTTAACTGAAAACATTTCATTTAATCCTCATTTCAAGGCTCCAGAATAGGCATGTTAATATTGTATTAAAGATCAGTCAATTGAAGTTTAAAGAGGCAAGTAGCCGGGCGCGCTGGCTCACGCCTGTAATCCTAGCACTCTGGGAGACTGAGGCGGGCAGATTGCTCGAGCTCAGGAGTTCGAAACCAGCCTGAGCAAGAGCGAGACCCCGTCTCTATTAAAAATAGAAAGAAATTAATTGGCCAACTAATATATAGAAAAAAATTAGCCGGGCATGGTGGCGCATGCCTGTAGTCCCAGCTACTCAGGAGGCTGAGGCAGTAGGATCACTTGAGCCCAGGAGTTTGAGGTTGCTGTGAGCTAGGTGATGCCACGGCACTCACTCTAGCCTAGACAACAAAGCGAGACTCTGTCTCAAAAAAAAGAGAAAAAAAGGTAAGTAGCGTAATATTAGGGGTACTGGAGCTGAGATTTGAATCCAGATGTACTGACTGTAGACCAGCCACTATACTGTTGTGTTAAAATAGCATCTGCGAAAGACAGCTAATTCTAGTTACCTTTGTGGGAGAACAGCGTTTGTCCAAAAGAGGAAGAAGTATTCCCTAAGTACTTAGGTTAGCTTTGCTTTAACTCTGCTTTTGAGCTGAGTGTCCTCCCTCACCCGATATATAGATAGGGTGATCCTATAATTTTTTGGAGTGCTTCATTTTGCCAGGACAGCAAGGGTTAACTGAGATATATGGTCATCTTATGGTTATGTCAAGTGCCCCAACCTTTTTTTCCCATTTAACTCTCCTCCGCATAATCCCTTCCTCTCCACTAAGAGAATCCCTCATTTTGTGGTCAGGTTTTCTTTCTGTAGAAAACGCTTGTTTCCTGGAATACTGTTTAGCCTGGGGACAGTTAAATGCTATTCTTCCTCTCCATTTTTGCTTAGCAGCCAAACTTCATCCCTTGCAGGGGTCAGGTGGAGAAAGGGAAACCTAAACCTAACCAGGGTCTGCATTCATTCTCAAAGCTCTGGAGCCAAGGTATATTCACTGTCTCCTGGGGCTTCCTAGCTTCCCCATTTCCCATCCTTTTTTCAGTAGCCTTGGCTTTTCAACCTGGCCTTGCATTGCCTAAGAACCATGGAACCTTAGGTTTCCTGTCACTGATTGACTTTCTCTGCCTAGCTGGTAAGAATTTTTCCCCTGTGGTTCTGTATTCTTCTCACTTAATATCTGCTCCCTGGACAATCATTCACTCTCAGGGTTTTAATTACAACCCACACATACTAACAGTGATGTAGCTGAGTGCAGTTCTGCAATCTGCCTTAGCTTGCATCCTGGCTCTGCTTTCTACAGGGGAGCATGACCTTGAGCAAATAACTTAGAGGTTGTAAAGTGAAGAGAATGAAAATAATTACCTAGTTAATAGGACTGTTAAGATTGATTTAAAAAAATTTTTGAGACACTGTCACTTGAGCTAGAGTGCAGTGGTGCCATCACAGCTGACTGCAACCTCAAACTATAAGGTTGGAGCTATCCACCTGGCTCAGCCTCCTGAGTAGCTGAGACTGTAGGCATGTGCCACCACCCCTGGCTACTTTTTAAAATATTTTGTGGCAATGGAGTCTTGTTATGTTGCCCAGGTTGGTCTAAACTCCTGGCCTCAAGTGATCCTCCTGTCTCAGCCTTCCAAAGTGCTGGGATTACAGGCATGAGCCACTGTGTCCCACTTGTGAAGATCAATTGAGAAAATTCTGGTAAGGTACTTAATATTTGGCACTTAAATTAACTGTGGTTTTGTTAATGTTACCATTCTGCCATCCCAAGAGCTTGAGACTTATATAACTGTCTAGTATATCCTTCAACTCTGGTCAACTTGTCCAAACCTAAACTCATCTTTCCCTTACCCAAAAACTCTTCAATTTTTTTTTATTGGTACCATCCACCCACTCAGCTGAGTTAGAGATATACTTTCTCTTAGACACCTCGTTTTCTCAGCCCCTACCTTCCTAATAATCATCAAGACCTTCCCCTCCTTTTCATGTCCATCACTAGACTCATTACAGGCTAATATTTTTTGTCTGAAGGCAAGGGACCAAGAATTGGTGATGATGTTCAGAGGTTGCAAAAGTTTGGGTGGTGAGGAAGTCCCTTATGTTTTTTCCCATTCTGATTTTATGGAAGGTACAAAATATTTAGAATGAACAATGCTGTGGACACTGGGACTACATATTCAAAAGTGAGAAGGACATTTTATTAGGCCCCTATTCAGGTAATTAGTAACCATAATTTTCCTCCAAAGCATTTCTAGCAAGAAATCACGCTATAAAATTATACACAAATCCCAAAAGACCTAGACTGGTTTTCCTTAGTACAAAATAAGCAGAGTGGTGATTGTACCCTTCATGAGCAAGAAACACTAAATGTGCCGTTCTGTCAAATAAGATTTTTTTTTTTTTTTCCTGTAGACATGAGTTCTGTGCTGGTCTCTAGAGGATGCTGATCTCTGTATTTTTAACCACCTGAATTTAGCTAGCTGCTGCAGGTTCCCCCAGTTCAGAACCTCTCCTTTCTGGTCTGTCCCTGATGTCTGGGTGTAGCGGCAATGAATGGTTGATTTGTCTCTAATAACTGGGTCTATGTGTCAAGAATACCAGGGGTAGAGCCTTTGCATCTACCATGCTCCCCTTCGTTAACTTAAAACCTTCCAACTTTGTTTCTGTTTTGACTCAGATATTAAAAATCTCTCCCAGGATCCAGATTTTCCCTAATTTAGCACACTACATAAATCTGAATTATCCTTCCTAATCCCACACCTTTGACCAAGCTTGGTGGGGTGGGTTTTAGTTCCTTCACTAGAGCCCGCATCAGATGTTGTAAATGGCCCACCCCAAAATATAATAAAAGCCCTAGAACTTCTCTAGGGTTTTCATTTCATTTCCTTTTTGATTTTAAAAGCAGTTAATTGTGTTGAACCTGGTAGGAATACCTTCTCCTACCCCCTAGTAAGAGCTCCCTTACCAGACCATTCTAATCATTGTCTTGGGAAAGGGGACTAGATCAGCCTCAGTGGCCCATTTTGAACTTTGCCAGCTACTCTTATTTAATACAGTTTCCTTCTACCCTGCATCCCTTTTCTGGTATCACTCTAGTTCTTTCTGACCTTCACAGACAAGCTTCTTTAAAGAGTAGTCTATTAGGTATGTCTACTTCCTCTTGTCCCACTACACTGAAAAAGCCCTCCACCACCACCCACTTCACTGTACCAGCTCTTATCAAGGTTATCAGAGATTTCTTCATTGCTAGACCAATAGACTTGTCATTTCTATCACATCTGACCTCTCAGTAGCATCTGCTCATGATTTTCTCTTGGAAATTTATCTTAAGTTTCTGTGACACTACATATCTGGATTGCCACTTCTCTGACTCTTTCACAGTTTTCTCTGTGAGCTCCCATCCATTAGACACTGATTTTCCCCAGGGTTATGTCCTAGTCCTGCTCCATCTCCCTGGTGATTTTACCTGCCCTGCCTCGAAGTCCAAATGACTATCTATGCTGATGACACACACTTCAGTATGCAGATCCTGTGCTCCAAATGCACAAACTATATGTTGAACACATTGCTGGCTATGTTACAAGACCCTTAGAGTGTCAAAATTAAACCATTGAAGCCATCTTCAAATCTTCTCCCCCATCTTCCTATGTCTTCTAACTGTGAATGGCATTCAGTATCCTCCAGGTTGCCCAGGCCAACAACTCAATATTATTGACTCCCTCTTTTTTCCTCATATCTAACTCCTAAGTCTTAAAAGCCTACCTCCTTGCCGGGCGAGGTGGCTCACGCCTGTAATCCTAGCTCTCTGGGAGGCCGAGGCGGGTGGATTGCTCGAGGTCAGGAGTTCGAAACCAGCCTGAGCAAGAGCGAGACCCCGTCTCTACTATAAATAGAAAGAAATTAATTGGCCAACTAATATATATACAAAAAATTAGCCGGGCATGGTGGCGCATGCCTGTAGTCCCAGCTACTTGGGAGGCTGAGGCAGGAGGATTGCTTTGAGCCAGGAGTTTGAGGTTGCTGTGAGCTAGGCTGACGCCATGGCACTCACTCTAGCCTGGGCAACAAAGTGAGACTCTATCTCAAAAAAAAAAAAAAAAAAAAAAAGCCTACCTCCTTGATATTGCTCAGATCTGTGTTTTCTCTGTCTTCATTGTTGCTGCCTTAATTTAGGACCCCACTATTCAATTCAATACAGTCTTCAATTCATTCACTATTCAATTGAATTCATTCCATTCATCCTGCAGCTAGAGCTCTATTTCTGAAATGTAAATCTGATCCCATCACTCCCCTGCTTAATTTTTCTCATTAGCTCCTCATAGCCTCAAGATAATCAGTGTTCTTAGTATGTCTTACAAGGCCACTTCCTATCTCCTATTTCATCACCTATCCCCCTCCCGCTTGTTTATTCATAAGTGTGTCCATCAGTTTATTCATCTATCCACCAGTAGATTTGTTGAGTGCCTACTATGTTCCAGGCTATATAGTAGGGCTGGGCTTACAGTATTGAGTGTATACTGGTGAACAATGCAAATATGGTACCTGCCCTCATGGAACATTCAGTCCAGTGGGATAGACAATATAAAAAGTGATCATATAAATATATATTAATAGTTATAAAGCATGGTAAGTTGGTTAGAATGAATCCCTTAATTTTTTTTTAAAGTAAGCTCCCTACCTTAAAGTACATTCAGTTATTTTTCACTCACCTGTTTAGGAGCTCAGCCATTAATACAGAACACTTGTAACTCTTACGAAAACAAAAGCATATAGTCATCCAAATTACATCTGTGGGTAATCAGCCCTTGAGCTCATTGTTAACATTCTGAGGATCCAGTTTATTTTATTTTTTTTGGCTTTAATAAGCAGTGTCATACTCAAAAAATGGGACATTGCTCATTAATCTGGTTATTAGGTAGTTTTACCTACTAGCAGCTAAACTGGTAAATAACATCCTATTCTCAGAGGATAATGTAGAACAAGTAAGGAGTGGTTACTTGGGGAAAACGCAGAACTGGAGATCCTCACCTACAGAGCCCATTCTGCAAAGCTTATGATTTGGGGAGGTGGTCCAGCTGCAGGAAGGGCTCTCAGAGTGTCCTTCGTTTCCCTCATAGTAACATAGCTGAGGGAAAAAATGAGATTCCACATTCTTTGGTAATGAAGCTAATGTTTAGCAAATAGTCCTCTATTTGCTAGGAGTTTGGTATTACATAAATCCTGGCTAGAGATCTCTGCCCCTACTTTCTTCTGTATCACTAGAGAAGAGACATGTTTTCCCATTGTTTTGTTTGTACAGAGTTCTTAGTTATTCACATCATGGACTAGAGGATTATTAGTAGTCATTAGTACCTCTCCCTGTGAGCTGCTTGGAGTAGGGCTGAACAGGGCAGAAGTGTCAGGAGGAAAAGGGTGTTTTTGTGAGTACACTTCAAAGTTAATAGAACTTATCTGGGAATACTTATGAGGAATTGTGGAGCTGGCTGGCACTACTCTGTAGAGCTGTTTGGGGCCCAGCTGTGATAGGACTCACCAGCATTCTAGAATGGGCATGCTGATGAGCAGATTGTCCCTGTCTCACATAGCAACCCCAGGAGCTTCTTGGGAAGATTAGGGAAATAAGTTAATTTAAAAAACTGCAGCTGGGCATGGTGGCTCACACCTGTATTCCTAGCACTTAGGCCAGGGCAGGAGGATCATTTGAGGCCAAGAGTTTGAGACCAGTCTAAGCAACATACTGAGACCCTGTCTCTACAAAATAGAAAAGTTAGCCGGGCATAGTAGTATGTGCTGTAGTCCCAGCTACTCAGGAGGTTGAGGCAGGAGGATCGCTTGAGCCCAGGAGTTTGAGGTTGCAGTGAGCAATGATTATGCCACTGTACTCTAGCCAGGATGACACAGTGAGACCCTGTCTCCAAAAAACCAAAACAGAATGCCACCAGCCTGGGCAACATAGCAAGACCCCATCTCTACAAATCTTTTTTTTTAATTAGCTGGGTGTGGTGGCACATTCCTGTAGTCCTACCTATATGGGAAGCTGAGGCAGAAGGACTGCTTGAGCACAGGAGTTCAAGGGTGCAGTGAGCTATGATCGCACTGCTGCACTCCAGCCTTGGGCAGTAGAGCAAGACCCTGTCTCAAAAAAATAAAATAAAAAGTGGAATGCTTAGTCTAGTTGCTTATGGATGAAGGAGAAAAATCAGCTTCCCATTTCAAAATCCACAGCCTTTTCTTTTTCTAGAAACATCAGAAATAATAGCATAAGTTATAGTTAGTGGGGGTGATTTGGGAAGTTGACATCAGGCTAAACAGAGAGGAAATGTCCCCTATCCCTCTCAATGAAGGGGGCTGCTGCCAGCATTGTTACTAGGCTGGGGAACCCACCCCTAAAGCACTTTTTAATACTTCCCAGTGCTACTTCTGGAATGGTTAAAAGTAGGGTTAGCCCTAAATCCTAATTGCCATGCAGCCAAGGCAGAGTTGCTGGTCATGCTTGGAGCATTCTCTAGGTTTAAGGGATGGTAGGGAGGAACAGTAGAGGATGGACATTTTTAGCTTTTTCCTCCATTCATTATGGGCCTCTGACTTTAGCAGTTATTGATAATTGCTGGCCTTGTTCTGCCCCTCCCCCAACTCAAATGCCAGGGATTTCCTAAGTGATCTTAAGCAACTCTGAGCCTTTCTCCAGAGAGCCCTCTTTCAGACAGTAGGAAAGGGGAAAGAAAGCAAATTCTTACCAGGAAAAAATGAAACACAATCATCCATCCCCATCCTCCATCCAGGATTTTAGTGTAAGGTTGGGTCTTCCCCTTCATCTTTAGCATGATGCTCCCTCTGTTTTAAGTGCAGAATATCCCTGTGACAAATCCAAGACATAGTTGATTCAGTTGACAAACTAGTTTTTAAACTTTAGTTTTCTCTGTGGTATAAAACCACTGGTATTGTAATTACCATCCCTCCAACCCCATTGCATATGAAGTTTGCCTGATGTAACTAAGGACTTGGTTAGCTGCAAAGCTGGACCTCTATTTTTGTGGGGTGGCCACTCCTAGAACTGTGCTCAGTGTCCTTTCCCCCAGGTCTGTAAGCCAATTCCTTGGGAAAGCTATGCATCATCCTCCTGGCCTCTGAGTGAGCTCTTGATTTTAAAGAAATAGAAAGGGAGGGAGAGCCTTGATTTGAGGGATCCCCTTTAGGCACATATTAAATGTAAATATTCTAAGAGCTAAATAGAAATGACAAGAAAGTGCAATACCTCTTACTTGAATGATGGATCCTGGATGAGAAAAAAAAATTATAAAGGACAATTGCGAATTGAAATATGCACTGTATTAATAGAGGATACCATACCAAGAATAAATCTCTTGGGTATGATGGTGGTGGTCTTGTGGTTCTGCATGAGAATGTTCTTGTTCTTATGCGATGCATGCTAAAGTATTCAAGAGTGAAATATCACTATGCTACTTTCTCATAAATGATTCAGTAAAATAAATATGTATATATAGAGAGAGGAAAAAGAAAATGTAACTGTTCCGAGGAAGGGGTACAGCACTCATTGTTTCCCCGTCAGGTGGAAGGCAGGCTGTTTCTTGCTGGAAAGGAGAATGAGCTGGCAGGCTGTGTGGAGTGGCCATCTGGTGAGCAGGCTAGACGGGGAGAAAGATGCTGGTCATCTAAGACGTCTTAGAAAACCAACCCAACACACACACTCATGTCCATCTTACCTTTGATGTGGTGTTTCAGTGCAAGAATCCTCCACAGATGAGGCAATTTGGGAAGAAAAATCATACTATTTTCTAGAATGTTACTTTTTCTAAGGCATTTTGTTTTGCTGCACTGTGAAAACAAATGAGCATTGTGAGAGCAGAGGCGTGCAGATCCGGTTTAGGCACTCCTGCCAGTGGACTTTACTTCCTGAGGGGAGGAGGGACGTCTATGATTTGATATCATCACAGCCCCTCCCTCCACCCACTGTTACTCAGAAAGTAGAATTTTTCACCCTGGGCTCAAAAACAAGCAACAGAGTAAACCAAGGGGAAAGTCCTTTTGGTGACTGTGCTCAAGGTTAGTGGGTGGGGCCTCAGTATATCTGTAGAGTTCCTCAGGGAGATCTTCAAGACATGCTTATTTTATAGGGCAAATACACAACTCTCAGAGCGGGGAGAGTCATTTTCTGGGCCACAGATGGTGATCTTCAGTAAGTTTAGCCCATTGGTATGGCCTTTTGTGTATTTACTAAAGATTCTGGTTACTAATTTGGGATTCCACGCCCCATTTTAATTGCATTTTTGTTAACTTCAAACACTTCCCACAAAAGATGTATATTGTAGTAATGTTAGTGAAACTTTTTTTGTTGTTGCATTTTGAAAATGGTTAAGATTGAGTCTCCTAGAAAATTACTGGGATAATTCAACTTTTTTCCCCCCATTTCCTTCCTCTGTTCCACCCTCCATATAAAAAAAAATCAACAAGAAATTGGCTTTCATCTCCTCACACCAACATTCCAGATTTTAAACTAGAGTGTATTTGAGGCCAAACTGTGTGTTTTTTTGTTTTATCTGGAAAGTCTGCACATATGTATGTTCCTTTTTAATAAGCAAGGGGCTGCTCAAATTCTTAAAACCAAACTCTATAATACTTTTTGATCAAAATGCTTGTGGGAAGGACAGCTTAGCAGTTTGGGAGGTTGCCCTCTAAATGTAACCATGCAAAGATTATGCAGTTATGTGGTACTGGTGGTAGGGATCAAATAAACATTCAGCAGAAGGCAGAAACCCAAAGAGAGAAAGTGAGTGCTTTTCAGACGAGATTGGGCACGTTCAGGGTGGTATGGCCGTAGACGTGAGTGCTTTTCAGAGAGCTGTTTATAATTACTAACAAACTCCAGAAAACTTGTAGTAAACATCTATAGAATAGATTTTTAAATTTTTTTGGTGGCATGCTTGTTGCTCTTTTAGAGCAAAGCTATCTGATTCTAACCACAGGATGAAATGAGGCTAGGCTGTATATTGATAGACAACTCTGATGCTAAGGCCTGGATTGGATTTGAAATGTGACAGGGCAGTGAGTTATTCATAGGGCTAAGAGGGCTGCAGAGTCCTCAGAGATGAATCCTTCAAACATATCTTTCATACAGGTGCATTAACAGGAAGCTTCTAGATGTAGTGGGAAATACAGATTTTGTTAGAATCTCAATTTTGCCATTTTTAAGCCTGGAGACTCTGGGAAATTTGCCCTCTCTCTTTCCAAAACTGTAAAATATTGGCTAATATTATTATTATTGGGGTTTTTTTTTTTTTTTTGAAACAGAGTATCACTTTGTTGCCCAGGCTAGAGTGCCTTGGCATCAGCCTAGCTTACAGCAACCTCAAACTCCTGGGCTCAGGCGATCCTTCTGTGTCAGCCTCCTGAGTAGCTGGGATTACAGGCATGGGCCACCATGCCTGGCTAATTTTTTCTATATCTTTTTAGTTGGCCAATTAATTTCTTTCTATTTTTAGTAGAGACGTGATCTTGCTCTTGCTCAGTCTAGTTTCAAACTCCTGACCTTGAGCAATCCTCCCACCTTGGCCTCCCAGAGTGCTAGGATTACAGGCGTGAACCACCGCACCAGGCCCCATTTATATTCTTAATGATATGTTTTCTCAACCTTTTGGGTTTTACAGTATGCATTTTTTTATTTAATCAATTTTACTGTGATGTAATTTATCTACACTAGGTTATACTCACTAAAGCGAACCATTTGATGACTTTTGACAATTGTATATACTTGTAAAACCACCTCCTCAATCAAAATACAGAAGGTTATCATCACCTTCAAAATGTTCCTCAAGTCCATTGCATCTGTCAGTACTTTATAGAAGTATAATTATAGTAATATGTACTCTTTTGTGTTTGAGTTGTTTCACTTAGCATTATTATTTTAAGATTCATCCATGCTGTGTGAATTCATGCACATATAAATAATCTGGGTTTTTTTGTATTACTAAGTAATATTCCATTTTTTGTGGATGCACCACATTTTGTTTACCTTTCTGCCTAAAATGGGTAGTTCATCTGACCATGGGATGTGTATGTTTATGAAGAAAATCTGGATGTGTATGATTCAAGAACTGAACCTGGAATCCAAAGTGATCTGGGGTATGGGGTAAGGGAAAAAAGAAAGTATCAGTGTTGGGAAACTGGATTCAGTGGGATCTACAAGGAATGCCATTTTGGTGCATCCTTCAGTGAGGAGTTAACTGATCAGGTGTCTATAACATTTTTCATTCTCTCTGGAAACAGACTCAGGTTTCTTTGGACCAAATCCAAAAGAACACATAGCTGTAATACAGCTGTAGTTGACTAGAATGCTCTGTATACTTTATATTAAAAAATGCTTTGCATTTCTTCCAGTGCAATGAAATTCATATGGTGTCCCACCTTATTTAATGATGGTACAATTTAAAATATTAAAATCTTAACCTCTGTAGAAAGTTTTCTCTATGAAAGTAAAGCTGTTTGAAAAATTATTTTTTTTACAGATTTTTCTATAAAAAATAAACATCTTTTGATTGCTTGGATTTAGGAATTAATTTTTGTTTTGGTGACCAATGTCAAGTTTTAGGCTTTGTGTGTTACATATTTAATATTTCTACTACCACTGTATGTCATCTGGGTAAGGCCTTCCAGAACTGTCTAAATACTTGAAAGGCTGATTACAAGTAATAATTAAAGAATAAGATAGTGGCAAATACTTTTCAGAAGTGGTATACAAAAGACTACAGTTTAATATCTGTATTTTTATAAAAGTATCTATATGAAGGGTTTTTGGTGTTGGGTTTTTTTTTTTTTGCCTATTTTTAGCAGAGGTATGAATATGTATTCATATATTCTGCCTACTTTTGAGTTCTCATTTCAACATTTAGATATGAAGTATGGCCCCCTTGGAATGCATTTAAGTTACTTTCAATGTGTATACAAAGACCAGGGAGAAACATAGGCTGCTGTGTTGGGGCCAGAAATAAAGTGACAAGTAAGTTAAAGACTTCTGTAATACCTACCTTCAAAATTAGAATCAGCAGCACTTTACAAATGAAAGTGCCTGTGCCTCACCTCACACCAAGAATTTTGTCTAACCCTGTCAGAGTGCCTAATCTCGTGGTGATTATGTACAATGAAATAGTCTTATTTTGTGTTCCTCGGTTTCTTAAAAGGAAAGCTTGTTTTCTTTCCGTTATCATTACAGAGGTATGTTATTGGTTCTTAAACTGTCCAAAATAAAGCTGTAAAAAATTTTTTAAAAATGTGGCTAATATTATTTTGCAAGGTTGTTGTGAGGATTAATGAACATGTGCAAGGAGACTGCATATTAGGCCTATGATTGTTACTTAGTGTATTAAAAATAATTCTTTGTAATCAGATGGGGCCTAATAACAAAAACAAAAAATTCTTAAGCCACCTTTGGGATATTAGTTAACATTTTGACATCTGTACCCAATTAACTTAATAAAGCTTATAGGTTTTTAAACATAAATAATTTCCTCAACCTCTAATCTTCTAACTCTGGCCCTAAAGCTATTCAGTAAAAATGCAGCATGATTTCCTCAGTTACTGCTATTACCCTCATTCCACTGTCAAATATAGCCCATCGATAATTTTTAACACTTAGGGACTTAGTTTAATACAGCACTACCATCTAGAACTAAGATTTTATGTTTAGCTGAATTTTTACCTGTCCTCTTGCAGAAGAGTTAACACAGCTTTCCTGAGACTCCTATTCTTTGAAAGTCCTGCTTACCTGGTTGGCCTCTGGCTGGCAACTGAGACCTTAGATTTTAGGAGCGTTCCCACCGTTCCCTAAATTGTAGGAACGGATCACTGTGCCTAAACTGTGCATACGATATGGTTTATGATAAACACTTGCTCTCCTTTTTGGGAATGTGGAATTTTGAAATGTCCCAGGCAGAGGACACTTGTATGACCAGCCCCATCGGGCACTGAATCTCTAATGAGCTTCGCTGGTTGGCAACATTTCACATGTGCTAGAGGAGTGAAGTGTATCCTGTGTGGTTCTACTAATAAGTGAATTTTTAGAAGCTTGTGCCTGGTTTCGTCTGGTCTTTGCCCCATCCTCCTTTTTCCTTGGCTGATTCTACTTGTATTCTTTCTAAATGCTCAGTCCTGAGTCCTCTTAATGAATCATCAAACTTGAGAGGTTGTGTTAGTGTGTGTTCTTCAGAGAAAGAATAGGATATTCTCTAGAGCAAGAAACAGAGGGGAGATGATGAGATTGATTTACTGTTGTCGACTGAAGAAATGATAAGGTTCATAAATTTGGAAAGTAGAGCTTTATTTCTTATAAAGCGTTGCAGCCTGCAGGGTGGCCGTTCTGACAGGCTGGGCAGCATAGCCTTGAGCAGAAGCCAAAAACATGTACTTTGAGGGAGGAACAATAGGAATAGGAATTTATGCTGAGTAGGGTGGCTAAATATATATATTTAACAAATTATAGGAGGAATCATGAATATGAAGGTAAAAACAAGCATGTACACAATTTATCTTCATGCTCCTTCATGGGGTCCATGTTCAGAAAACCACAGCGATACCATGATCTGAGGGTGGAGTTTTTGGCCCTCGGTGAAGCAGTTTCAAAAGGTGAAGCAGTGGACATGAAAACCCTTACTGTGCATGCTCTGTAGACTGGTTAGAGCCACTCCATGGTTCGTGGTCTCTTTCAGGAAAAAATGCTGTTCAGTTGCAGTGCCGAAACCACAGAAAGGGAGAAGTGGGTCACAAGATAGGTCTTTGTTTAGCTCTTAGGGAAGAAAGCCTGATGGCTGTCAGTGAGGGAGGAGGTATAATGAGGCATGTGTGACCTCCCATCCCATCATGGCTGGGAACTCAGT